ACATGCATTTTCCAGCGGAATAAAACGACTTTAAGGGGTCTCACACATCTGAGGCTGCCATGGGTGCCTGCCAGAACCTTCTCCTCTCCAGGCCTGTGGACTGGATGGAGTTTGTGCAGAGAGCAGAGGAGGTTATGGGATGTGTGGGTGCACAATGAAAGCCCAGAACCACGGTCTCCCCACCCAGGGAGGCAGTCAAGCTGAGTGCCTGGTCCGAGGTGCAGAAAGGAAAGGCGCAACTGCCCCCGTGGAACCTGCGCAGGTTCCCCACGCCCACAGGGGTGCACGCTGCATGTGGCCACTTGTGTGGGAGTCCGCCCCACCCTCCCACCGCCCACTGGGCTTCCCCGCCTGCGGTTCCTACCATGTCCCCCACGATGGCTGGACCCACTCCTCCGTGCTCAGTCGGCTCACCAGCTCATCCTGCCATCCAGGCCGCCCTGGCACAGTGGCTTGCCAGGCTTCCCTGGACGTGGGTTTCCAGGACCAAAGGTCCACAGCTTCCCAGCAGCCAGGTGGCCCCTGGACAACTCCTGGGTGTGCGACGTGCGCTGGGATGCTCGCCGGTGGAGTTGATAGAGGAGGTCTGGGCAAATGCACGTGGGATCTGCGGGTCTGGGGGAGCGCTCTGCAGCCTCGAGCCTCCGCGATCGGCTGGGAACGTTTGCCGAGTTTGCAAAGTCCCTGCGGCAAGTTCTGGCCCAGCCTCTTCACTTCCCCGAAAGCGCGGAAGGGGGAGCTCCTTTCACAATAAAAGCCCTGCCTGGGGCAGCTGCAGCCGCCTAAAGCGGGGGCCCAGGTGCTAGGAAGGACTGTCCCGCCCTCCGAGGGCTGATAAGCCAGGGCAGGAGGGGGGGGGGGGGGCGCGCATAGCGCAGGGCCGGGGCGCATAGCCCATCCAGCCTCCATGGTGTGCAGATGCGCTTCAAGCCGGCAATCTGGAGGGACCTGCTGGGCGTTGCCAAAACCATGCTTCTCCTCTCCCCTGGGAACCCTGGGAGAGAGAAGCCCCTTTACAGGCATCCCAGCCCCTTTAGGGCCATGGAGTGAATGACTGATAGCGACCCCTGGGGGACAGCATCCTCCTCCACAGAGCCGCGCCTGTGACTGAATCAACCGCGGGCCTTTGCTGTGCACTGTTTCATTTTTATTTTTTAAAATATATTTTATTGATTTTTTACAGAGAGGAAGAGAGAGGGATAGAGAGTTAGAAACATCGATGAGAGAGAAACATAGATCAGCTGCCTCTTGCACACCCCGTACTGGGGATGTGCCCGCAACCAAGGTGACCGGAATAGAACCCAGGACCTTTCAGTCCGCAAGGCCGATGTTCTATCCACTGAGCCAAACCGGTTTTGGCACTGTTTCATTTGCTGTATCCCTGCTTCCTTGCTCTTCATGAATGCAATCCAGGGAACACCTGCCACCCATCCTGTTTGGTACTAAATGTCATAACAAGCATGAGGTACCACTGTTTTGGAAAACACTCTGGCTAACTACTCCAGTTAAATATCCACGTGCTGTGACCCAGCAAACCACACCTGTCCCCAACAGAACTGCCTTCAGATGTGCACCAAAAGCCAGGTAACAAGAATGCTCATAGCAGCATTATTCTCAGTGAATAATCCCAAACTGGGAACAATCCAAATATTCAAGAGATATGAGTGGATACGTCAACCAAAAGACATGTGCTTTTTTCACAATAGCCCCAAATCTGAAATCACCCAAATGTCCATCAGCCAGTAGTAGATCTACTCAATGGAACAGCAATCAGCACTTTGAAAAGGTCCCTGTTAGATGCAACAATATGAATAAATCTCACAGACAAAACATGCTGCACTCATCTAAACATAAAAGTATACATACTGCCCTATCCGGTTTGGCTCAGTGGATAGAGTGTTGACCTGTGGACTGAAAGGTCCCAGGTTCGATTCCGGTCAAGGGCATGTACCTTGGTTTCGGGCACATCCCCAGTAGGGGGTGTGCAAGAGGCAGTTGATTGATGTTTCTAACTCTCTATCCCTCTCTCTTCCTCTCTGTAAAAAATCAGTAAAATATATATATTTTAAAAAGTATACATACTGCCCTGCTTGACTTTGCTCAGTGGTTAGTGTTGCAGGTTCAATTTCCAGTCAAGGTATGTGCCCTTGACTGGGAATTGAACCTGCAACACTGTATACAGTGTTGTCCTTGGGTTCCAGTATTAACAACAAAAAGTATATATACTAAATTATTTCCTTTGTATGCAGAACAGATAACCCTAACCTCTAGTATGGAGTAGAAATGGTTAACCCTGAGAAGAGGTCGGCTGGTAGGAAGCAGAGGGAAGCCTCCTGTGCTCTCTAGATCCGGGCAGTGGGCATGATACCTCCCACTGTTGGCTTCCACTGAAGACTAACTCGCTATTCACAAGCTTGCTTATTCTCACTTATCAATATATTGTGACCGTTTCCATGACAACAAAAGTAACTCTCTTTTGTGAATTTTAAGTTGCCGTCGCCTTATTTTATGAAACACACTTTTAGGAATCTTGTCTCCCTAAGTCAGTTATAAATGCTGCCAGGGCGGGGCTCCATCTTACAGATCACATGGAGGAGGAGAACTGGGGACCTGTGGGAATAGTCAGACCTGGGTTTAAAATGGAATCTCACCACTTCGGGCTGTATAACCGGACCAAAAAATGTACCCGTCCAGCCTGTTTCCTCATCGACAAAATGGGAATAAGGCCTACCTCGTGGAATTTTTTTACAAATTTTTAAATAGACAATGAAGGCAAGGAGCTTAACACCTCACAGATGCTCATCAAATGATAGCTCTTCTAGCCTCGCCAAGGGCTTGCTCACAGAGCCTTGAGAAGGCCATGTGCTGGGGGGAGGAGGGAAAGGGGAGGGGAGAGCGGCAGGAGAGAGGTCAATGAGGGGGAAAGGAGACATATGAATACTTTAAACAATGAAGAATTTAAATAAAAACATAATAATGAAAAAAAAAAAGGCGGGGGGAGAAAAACTATGATGATCCCTCACCTTGTTCCTGTACACAAGCAGCAGTCTAGAGCAGTGTTTGCCAAACTTCTCTCACGATGAGAATCACCTGGTAGAGTTGTTAAACTACAGATTCCCGAATCCCAACTAAGAAGTGCTGAACTAGAATTTTTGGGAATTCCAAGACAGAGCACTAAGTCAAGTATACAATTTTACCTATATGTTCCCCAAAATTCTAGTTTAGCACTCCTTAGGTGGGATTCAGGAACCTGTAGTTTAACAACTCCACCAGGTGATTCTCATCGTGAGAGAAGTTTGGGAAACACTGGTCTAGGGGATGAAGGCAGGGCTGCATCAATTCAACATGTTTCCCAATGCCATCACTGCTTCTCCAGGTCAGCAGACACTCCAGCGGACTGCATCCTTTAAGATCTGAAGGTGAATTCTGAGGACTCAGGTGATGCGTATCTTGAATGGCTCTCACAGCCACGGACAGTGATCTCCTTGGAGGAAATGCACTGAGCTTCACGGCTGGTAGGCAGGATCTGCCCCATCCAGGCTGGTCCCAGATCAAGGGTATACAAGAGAAATGTTTTAAGTGATGCGGACATGAAGAAGTAAATAGCACCACCGTGTGGTCAACATTCCATGTGGAAGCTGTTCTAGGCCTTGATTCGGTCTTGAGTTTTTCCTACCTACAGGTACTAATGTCCCAGCTTCACAAGGGTGGAGACAGAACTCAGAATTATCCTATGACCAGCAAGTACGAGGGGGGGGGGGGGGGCGCAAGAGTAGGTTTAAAGTTGTTCATATGGAAAATAATACAGTAATTAATAACTAATAATACAAAACAAATAAACTGTTCTGTGTACTCACAACTACAAACCTACTTTTGCCCCACTCTGTATATATCTAGAGCACATGTGTCAAACACAAGGCCCGCGGGCCAAATCCGTCCCGCCAGGCCTTGCAATGTGGCCCGCACCGCGCTGTCATCACTGCACTCCGCTGCGTTTCCATCACAATGACAGTTTATGACTGTTCAGTAAACCATTCGGCCCGCGATTTAGGCTGGATTTTAGATTTTGGCCCCTTCTCTGATTGAGTTCAACACTCCTAATCTAGAGTGTACCCACCAGAAACGAAAACATATGTCTGCATTAAAACCTGTACACTAATGATCATAGCAGCATCCTATATAATAAAAGGGTAATATGCAAACTGACTGAATGGCGGAACAATCTGTTACTATGACGTGCACTAACCACCTGGGGGCAGACACTCAGCGCAGGAGCTGCCCCCTGGTGGTCAGTGTGCTCCCACAAGAGGAGCACTGCTCAGCCAGAAGTCTGGCTCATGGCTGCCGAGTGCAGTGGTGATAGTGGGAGCCTCTCCCACCTCCGCAGCAGCACTAAGAATGTCCGACTGATGGGCCTAAGCCATCAGTCAGACATCCCTTGAAGGTATGCAGACATCCCAAGAGTGTGCAGGCCGGGCTGAGGAAACACCGTCCCCACCCCCTGCCCAGTGCATGAATTTCATGCACCAGGCCTCAAGTTATTAATAATGCCCAAACTAATGTCCATCAACTATTATAATAAATGGATAAGCAAAATGTGATATTATCCATCTAATGGGTCTTATTCACACATAAAAGGAATGGAGCATAACATGTTATAAAATGGAAGAATCTTGAAAACCTGTTAAGTGAAAGCCAGCTGAACCTGACCATGTATTATATGATTCTATTAATATCAAATATCCACAACAAGCAAATCTGTAGAAACAAAGTAAATAAGTGGCTGCCTAAAACTGAATGTAGGGGGAGAGATGGTGACTGCTAATGGAAACAGGGTTTCTTTTTTGAAAACAAATATGTTCTAGAAACAGATTGTAGTAATGCTAACATGAATCTGAATATACTAAATACCGCTGAATTGTACATCTTGAATGGATGAACTGCATAGTTTGTGAGTTATACCTCAATAAAGCTGTTTTAAAAATGACATGAAAGCAAGCTTTTGTATATCAGCATGAATAATTTTAATGAGTGAAAAACATGAAATATAGGAAATGCATGTGTCAATACTTGACATCATTTCAGATGGCTCTTAAATCAACTCCTTACTCTGAAAAGTGGTATTTAAATGTAAGGAATTAAGCCTTTGTCCTGTCTTCCGAGAAGAGATGATTCTGAAGAATTTTTAATTTGATGACATATGACATCATTTTAGCTAAGTACATACATCTTCTTAATTTTGCACTGTATCCTAAAGGGAAGGAAAAACCAAAGTATCTGTAAATTACCTTAAAGTATTTCAATATAAAAAATAGAATTTTAATATATTGTCATGAAAAGCAAAAATAAATTTTTCTATCTGTTCTCTTGGTTAGTGGACAAGATAATACTACTACACTGAGTTTACCAACTTTGTAAAACTGAGGGAAACTGGAAAAAGGAGATCACACATAACCAGACAAGTATTTATTATTATTTTTAAAAAATATTTTTTGTTGCCAAAACCGGTTTGGCTCAGTGGATAGAGCATTGGCCTGTGGACTCAAGAGTCCTGGGTTCGATTCCGGACAAGGGCATGTATCTTGCTTGCGGGCACATCCCCAGTGGAGGATGTGCAGGAAGCAGCTGATCGATGTTTCTCTCTCATGAAGGTTTCTAACTCTCTATCCCTCTCCCTTCCCTTCTGTAAAAAATCAGTAAAATATATTTTAAAAAATATTTATTGTTGAAAATATTACATGTCCCTTCCCCACTCCCCATTGATGCTCCCAGCCCTCCCCCGCCCCTGCTCCAGGCCCTCACCACCCTATTGTTTGTATCCATGGGTTATGCATATATGCATACAAGCAGACAAGTATTTAGAAAAAAGTTTCTACACATCCCCAGGGATCAAAGCATCCCAGTGAAACATTCAAGCAGGGTGTTTACTACAGTGTAAAGCAAGCATGTCAAACAGCCAGTAGGCCACGTGCCTGGTTACACGAGTTTGACATGCTTGGTGTAAACGGATAGGAAGCAATGAATCACAGAGCAGTCAGAGTATGAGCAAGGATCCCAATGCACTTCATGCTGCTTTTCACAAAGACACACATCTTTCATTTGGATGAAATAAAAGCAAAGGAAAAGCACCGCTGGCAAGGGCATCCCTTGCTTAACTCACCTGCAAGGTCTGCTCTCCAATTCAGGGCTCCCTGAGGCTCGATGAAACATGGCTCTTTCCCTTGTTCCAGCTGAGAGATCAGAGCCGGTTTGAAGCTGGGTGGTGCTGCTTGAAGGAAAGGAGACACAAACTGAGCTGTAGCCAGAGGTGAGGAGAGCAATTCTTGGGTGGACTAAGCTAGAGGTACCCTAAATAGCCTCAGGATCATGCTCCCAAGGAAGCCTAGAATACCCTGGAAGGCAAATTTCTATTGAAGGGTAAATGAGATGTCTTACCTTCTTTGCTAGGGGATGGAAAATTCTCACTGGGGCCGAAACTGGTTTGGCTCCATGGATAGAGCGTCGGCTTGGGGACTGAAAGGTCCCGGGTTCGATTCCAGTCAAGGGCATGTACCTTGGTTGCGGGCATATCCCCAGTAGGGGGTGTGCAAGAGGCAGCTGATCGATGACTCTCTCATCGATGTTTCTAACTCTCTATCTCTCTCCCTTCCTCTCTGTACAAAATCAATAAAATATATATATTTAAAAAATTCTCACTGGGGAAAACAGACACATGGCTCCTAGGAGAACTCCCTCGGGGAGACTAAGGGGCTGAGTTCTCTCAAGATAATCTGGAGGTTCAATATAGGGTGAGAGTACCTCCCTAATGCAGGGAGGGAGGGGAGCTAGAGTAGCTTTTATGGTGGAAAATGAAGGAAAGCCTTCTTGTAGGTCAAATAGACACCGGGGCTGTCTGTACCTGGCAACTCTTGACACTGGCATTTGGGGTCAGCTAATAAATATAAGAGAGCCCTTCCACTTCTGAGGCCCAGGCAGCGACCCGAGGTAGAGGCCTTACCCAGGGCGGCCACATTGGCATAGTTCTCCAGCATCACATCCCTGTACAGGGCCCTCTGAGCAGGGGCCAGGCTGGCCCATTCCTCCGCAGTGAAGTACACGGCCACATCCTCAAAAGTTGGCAGCTCCTGAAACAACAAGCTCCTGCTCTTCCAGGCCTCAGGACTTTGGTGATGGTCAACAGTCAATGAGAGGTCTGGGAAGGGCACCTACACTGGCTCCCTCATGTGTCTGGTGAGTTTGGAAGGTGTGGGGAAAGAGGATGCAAATAAAAGGCAGCCAGCCGAAACCGGTTTGGCTCAGTGGATAGAGCATTGGCCTGTGGACTGAAAGGTCCCAGGTTCGATTCCAGTCAAGGGCATATACCTTAGTGACAGGCACATCTCTGGTAGGGGATGTTCAGGAGGCAGCGATTGATGTTTCTCTCTCATCATGTTTCTAACTCTCTATCTCTCTCCCTTCCTCTCAGAAAAAAAAATCAATAAAATATTTTTTAAAAATAAAGGCAGCCAGAGTTCAGCATACTTGCCCAGTTAAGAACCAAATACATGAGCTTCCAAATATAAGTGACCTCCAAATAGACCACTGTAGAGGGGCTGGGCTTGAGCCTGAGCGTGAAATTATATATATAAAAGGAGAACTAACATGGAACTGGATATGACTGGCACCTTAGCTCTCAGCCCCTCCCCACTCTGTAATACAGTTGGGTGATTATTTGGGTTGCTCATTTTACTGTCATTTTCCAATTCTGCTTTCATCCCAGTTCTTCCCTCATTCTTGTCTCCTTGTCCACTACCCCAGGCACAGAGTTCTCCAATCTGTCAGTGATTCCCCACCCCCATGCGGAGGGAGTAAGGGTAGAGATCCAATAGGAAAACACTGCTTACTTGGAACAGGCTAGAGAAAAATCTGCTTATCAGAGGACACCACTAAGGGAGTGAAAAAGCAAGCCAAAGGCTGGGAGAAGATATTTCATAAACATACATCTTACAAAGGACTCATATCCATAATACAGAACTACAACTAGGAGGGAAAAAATGACATACGATGTATTAAAAAATGTCGGTTGTGATGGGCTGTTGCCTTCCCCTGATTGCTGGGTCGCCACCCACCCGAGGGCTCCTGGACTGTGAGAGGGGGCAGGCTGGGCTGAGGGACCCCCGCTCCAGCGAATGAATTTTTATGCACCGGGCCTCTAGTAATTATATAATGAAAAAGTACTCAGCAATTAAAAAGGAGTGTTATCTGTAAAGTTCATAAACAGATTGGTGAACAAAAAAAAGGCAGATACAAAAGAATACATGTAGAATGATTCCATTTACATGAAGTTCAGGAACAAATAAAATTAAACTATGGTGGCAGAGGTCAAAATAACAGTCAACTTTGGGGTGGACTGCTTGGGATGACATATGATAGAGCTTGTTGTGGTACTGATAATGTTCTATGTCTTAATATGAGTGATGGTCATACAAGTGAGTATATATATATATTTAAATGTTTCCTTTTAACTGATTTTAGAAAGGGAGGAAGGGAAAGGGGGAGAGAGAAATATCGATTGGCTGCCTCCTGCATATTCCCTACTAGGGATGGAGCCTGCAACCCACCCTGACAAGGAATCAAACAGGCGGTATTTTGGTGCATGCAACTACATTCAACTAAGTCATACTGGCCAGGGCAGGTGTATTTCTAAAAAGTGAGCTATACAGTTCAGATTTGTATTGAAGATAAATAATACCTCAATGAAAAATGTATATGTTTTATATATACAAATGTATGTTGCATATGTATATGTATGCATATATACTTATGTATACACAGTTTATATGAATGTATATTTATGTGCACATATAAGCATACATGCATATATACATATATATGTATATACACATATGTATTCATGTAGAGTCAGAGGAAACCCAGCTCACCTGGGGCCCATCTGTTAAGGACTTTTCTGACATTATCTGACCTCTTTTATTCAGGTCTTGAGGAAAGGTTAAGTCTCAGGAGCTGAAGGTAAAGAAAGAAGCATTAGTAACAATAACTTTACTGACCATAACTCATGTACACAACATCTGATCCACCCTGTTTTGAGGCTGTATCAACTATTATTCATCAGTGACTGTCTTGTGTCAATGACAATACACATCTCACAGTGGCCAGAGCAGGCATGCTGCTAAACTCACGGAGAGTTTAAGTCCAAGGGTAACCAAAGCAGTGATTCAAATTGAGTAAATGGGTACCCCTTGTAGCTGTGTCCTCCAATTCTCTTAAATTATGATGTTGTCATCATATCTCTGTAATAAATGTCCCTTGCAGTGGATACCTAGTAATACTTACATATTAATCAAAATAACTTAACCAAAAAGGTCTGATCCACACTGTTGATCTAAAAATAGAATGGCGGTATTGGCTACCCTACAAAACATTCCCTTCCATTTCTTCCTATGGGGGAAAGCATACCTATGGAGCTAAAGCATAAAAAAAAATTAAATTAAATGGGGAACAAATCACAATCCAATACACTCCACTAGCGAACCACAACCCAATACAGGCCACTAACAGGACCAAAGGCTTAATCCCATGGATCACCAACCTCAACAGTTAGGTTAAGACAATGAGGAAATGTTAAGTGGATGTAATGACAAGAGAAATAAGGGATGTTCTTTCTTGGTCCAGAAATCTTTCCCTATATCCAATACCGTTCGTAGGAAATTATATGCCGAACACTGGACACACTGTACATTTAGTTCTTGATGGATATGACTCGTCATGAGATTTTTGGTTGTTTTTTTTGTTTTGTTTTGTTTTTTTGGATTAAACATTCAAATGGGCCAATCCAAATCCAGGACTTCACAATTTCCAATTTGTTAACCAAGTAGCCTCCATCCCGGAGGGGGGTGAGGGTGGGGAGAGGGGGGACCATTTCAGTACTTCCAAGACTTTGCCTCTGTAGGGACACTAATAAGCTTTCAGATGGGGTTGACACCAGGCCAGGTGAGTAGGTAAAAGTGCTCACAGACCGACTTCCTGGGACCACCTGGAGAGGGAGAAAGGCGTTAGGGTGGACACCGGCCGAAGGGTGCGCTGGGGCCTTCGAGGCCGGGACAAGAGGGGCTGAAAAGGCCGACGGACCTGTTCTCTGTGGATAGCGTGTCCTGGAGCCCAATCAAGACTTTAAGAGCCTCAGTGTCAACGCCCCTCACATTTTATCAGTACCCAAAAAGAATAACAGGCCGCTGGCTGTGCTGGGGACCAGAAACCCAGGGGTCGGGAGACGAAGGCTGGCGCCCCCTCTTGAAAGGATCGACCCGAGCCCAGGGGTGGGATGGGGACCCTGGTGACGGGATGAGGACCCCGGTGGCACCCCTTTCAGTCAGACCCGCTCACCCTGGGCTCTGAGCGGCCTTGGCAGAGTCCCAACGACCAGAGGTTTTGCACGCGGCCCTCAGGTGCTCCCGCTGCGTGAACAATGGCTGCGCCTCGGAAGTACTTCTGTGAACAATGGCTGCGCCCCGGAAGTACTTCCTCACGTTGACCCACTGACCCAAACGTCCTTGAGATTCCCTCTAGTAATTTTGGAGGACCTCTCATCTTGGTGGTCCCTCCTAGTTCCCTGAGACAAGCCTAGGAAACCAGAGGGCGGGCGAGATGAATCCCATCTCCTTCCCAGACCCCGGGTTCTGAGCCGGGGTCTGCTCCCCGCATCACCCACCTCCTCCGGAAGGAGGCGGACTCTGCGGCGGGAGCTGGAAGGCGGGCTTTCGTTCCCTAGCTGTGGAGCCCACTTAAGGAGTCCTCTCCCTCCGAGTCAGAAGCCATTTCCGGGAAGAGACAGGCCCATGCCCCTGCGGGACGTATTTTCCACCTGCGGGTGGGCCTTCCCCTTCAGGGCCTGGGAGAGCAATCTGGAGCCTGGAGGGGGATCTCAACTGGGCTGAGGGGCTACCCTGCACGGGGTGGAGGCCGCAGGGCAGAGGAGCCTCCCAAATGTTTGCTGAATAAATGGAAGTTGAGGGACGCAGTGGCGATCTTATTCTATATCCAGAAGACTCCTAGGATGTCACAAAGGCAGTGCTATTTGGTCCTTCGTAGAGAGAGCCACCACGAAAGAGGGAAGGTCAGAAGCAGGGAGAAGTGAGTCCAGGTCCCAGCTAGAAGCCTACCACACTGCCCGTGCATATCCTTCTCAGACTGTCCTAACCAGTTCAGCCACATTCACTTGTCCTCCACTGTTATGTCCTCATTTGTTTTGTTCCTACCAGGCCACTCTGATGCCCTATATGGAGCTCAAAGTTACAGCCCTTTTTACCTAAAGATTCAGCCCCTCAGCTACCATTGGCTGAGGTTGGCAGTGGGAGAAGCCCCTCAACTACCATTGGCTAAGAATAGCCTCGGGACCCTCCCCTCAGCTACCATTGGCTGTGGTTGGCAGTGGGACCCACCCCTCAACTACCATTGGCTCAGATTGGCAGTGGGACCGGCCCCTCAATTACCATTCGGTGATGTTGGCAAAGGAACCCGCCCCTCAGCTACCATTGGCTGAGTCTGGCAGTGGGACCCGCCCCTAAACTACCATTGGCTGAGTTTCAAAGTGGATCCTGCCCCTAAACAACATTTGGGTGAGGTTGCAACTAGGTCAACAAGGCAGGACACAAACTAATTACAGAAATACACATATCTCTGAACAACCTTCACCATTAAGCCCAGCCATTTTTTACTGGTCCTGCCCCCTCCTCACTGCTCATGCCCAATCTACCCTCAAGGACCCGGGGCAGTTGTGTCATCCTTAAGCACTATCCCTTCCCCCCACTCCTCTGCACCTTCCTCCCATTACCAGTTGGCACCATGTGTCTCTCTCCCAATGCTCATACTTTGGGATGGAAAGCACAGCAGGTGTACAGTGAAGACCCTGGCAGACATCCCAGGATCCTGGTGACCAAGGCCAACATCAACAGGGACCCACGGATAAATCGTGTTGGTATCACGTGCCCAATGAGCATGCTCCACACAGGTGGTGCTCTTCCCTAAACCCCAGTCTATTAGAAGGAAAACATCAGAGAATCCAAAAGACATCCTTCAAAACACAGGACCAGCCTGGAGCAGCCACACACGGCCCAGGGTGGCCCTTAGAGGGGGCAGCTGAAACGCTTGGAAAAGACAGACAAGAGAATGAAAGCTGGGTCTCGGTTGGATGCTGCTTCCTGAGAGACAGCATCCAAGCCCACAAGCCGAGGCTTTCTTTTGTAGCAGATGCCACGAGGCAAAGTGAAAACTTGGTCAAGATGTTTCCAGCATTCTCAAGGGTTTCCATCCTACTCCATTCCATGCACCTGATCAAACCTGGGTTACTTGCAGCCTACATCACTCAGGCAAGTGGGGCCACGTGTTCAGACCATAGGATCAAGCTTACAACTCTAGCTGTTGGAAATAATTGTGCTTGCAGGCTCTGCCTTCCAAGTTGGGACCTGCATATAGCCAAGAGAAGACTCGGTTCTATCATTAGTCCTAGTCTTGAACTTGTCCAAATGCTGTAGCCACTCTGCATCCTCCAAGCCCGTCAAGGTCATTAAAAACAAGGATGCTTGTGAGATGCTTGTGAGATAATGCACAGATTGAGCTAAAAGCAGTGTGGGGTTCCGGGTAGATCTTCCAACACAGTGTTTCCCAAAGTGTGGTACGCATACCCTCAGGGGTACGGGAAGAGTTTGGTGGGGGTCCACCTTGCACTGGAGTTTGGTGGTGATATGCACTGCACCGTACTTAGCTGTGCCTAATTCTTAATTCTCATGAGTACTTTTTTTTTTTTTTACTCAGCGTTACGAAAATTATAGAAACACTGCTCCAACAGGAGAAGGCTATTAGTGAAAGACTATAAAAACTCAACTCTGTAGTCCGGTTCAAGCAAGGCACCAGCACTCACTTCTTAGCTTTGTCGGTGCAGGGGTAATGGAAGCTGTGAACACTAGCAAGTAGACCTGTGGGCAAGGAACCCTGTACTAACTACTCAATTGTGGGGGGAAATCTAGAATTATTCCAAAATAAAAAAAAATTATTTTTAAAAAATGTAATGAACAGCTCTGGCCAATTATGTTCAGTGGTAAGAGCATCAGCCCAAGGATTGGTTTGTGGGTCCAACCCCTCAACAACCATTGGGTAAGGTTGGCAGTGGGACCAGCCCCTCAACTCCCATTGGCTGACGTTGGCAGTGGGACCAGCCCCTCAACTCCCATTGGCTGAGGTGGGCAGTAGGACCAGCCCCATCTAAGAACATCAAAGATGGGAAAGAGGAAAAAAAAACATGTGAATGAAGATGGCACCCAGAGGAGCCAGGATGAATAAAACAAGAAGATGGAAAGCCATGGGAACACAGAGAATAAAAAGGAATCCCCCTGCTGTTCACAACACGACGTTAAAAGAACATGTAATGATTACAATGTAAAGATTGAGACAAGGAAACTGGTTAGGTGACTGACACGTGTGTCTCCACTCACCTGAGGACATGCCCTTTGAGCTCTCTCCATCCAGAGCTCCCTGGGGAGCGAGCACCAGGGGGCTTCCTCGCTCCAGATGGGAAATCAGAGCTGGTTTGGGAAATGGAAATGCTTCTTTAGGGGAAGGAAACGGGACAGGTGAGTGGGACGACACAGAGTAATCCCAGGGCTCCTCCCTGCAAGGCTTGTGTCTCCAGGGGAAGGAGGGGGAAGAAGGGAAATTTCCAGGAGAACAAGAGAAGGACATCCAGGGAAAGTGGGAGACACCCAGGGAAGAGGAGCCAGAGCTCCCAAAGGTCAGCAAGTAGAGCAGGAGGTGCTCAATAACAGTTTGAGTGAGCAAATGGGCGATTTCACTCACTGAGAAATGGAGCTTTCTAGTTCTCTCCCTCTCATAGAGCTCTCAGGTTCAGACACCTGCATGGCCATGTGATATGAGGCTGCATCTCCCAAATTTAGGGGATGGGGAACTGAGGGCTCCAGGGGGCACCAGGAATCTGTTCCCTTCCCACTGTACCCACAGCACAGGGGTTAGGAGGCGGGCAGCTCTGACCCTGAGGCAAGGAGGTCCTCTTAAGAAACATAGAGCACTTAGCACCATCCTCAATCAGGATTGAAATCTCCATTGCAGGGGGGCACCAGTCTGGTCCATTTCCTGCCAATTCTTGCCTACAGTCACCACAGCGACTTATCCTGCACTCCAACGCTCAAAGGCTGACTCACCTACGCTTCACCTGAAAAAGTCCAAACCCTCTGCACCATAAACACCCCCATTCACTATTCAGGGGCCCAATTTACCTGCTAAGGGTCATCCCCAGCCACCACCCTTACTTATCTTTTATCTTTTCACCAATCTGTTACGAACTCAAATCCTTTCTTTGCCCAGATCTGAGCCCTGGTGCGTGCAGCTCCCCTGCCTGAAGACCCAAGTCTCTCTCCTGAGTCTGCAAACTCATGTTCATCTCAAGACCTCGCTTAAACATAACCAGTTCTGTAAAACAGGTGTCATGGAAATTCTGGGCAGCTGTCACTGCGCACAGCACCGTGACCACCTCTGCCCCAGCACTCGGCTCATGTGCAGCTAGCCAGCTGCCTGTGTGCTTCTCCTGATGTGTCACTCTGAGGAGTGTCAAAGCCACTCTGCTCCCAACCTCCTCCTCCAGGTCCTCCACTCTGGGATGTACCCAGGGTTCTCACTATCCCCTTTCCATCCTTTATCTGGGCCTAGAGTCGGGGCACAACAGAGTCAGCTTTGTTGTGCCGGTGCCGCACTCACCAGGCACATCCAGGGCCAGTGCCGGCTGTCCCAGCAGCAGCTCCAATGGCCTGGCCATGGCCTGGGACGCCCGTGGGGGAAGTGAGTGGTGCCCTGAGCCCACTCAGAGGCTGCGCAGTGTGGGGAAGGGGCGCTCCAGACAGGGGAGGGCCTGTCATAGCGGCCCACACCCAGGGGTCCTGCCAGCCATGTTAGACCCACACCCAGCAGCCCACACTCTACACGGGCCAGGGCTCCACAAGGGAGAGGTGAAGGCGGCAACATTCATGCCACTCAGGCTTCTCTGGGATGATGGAGGGCACCTCGTCTCTGTGGTCCTTCTTTCTTCCCTCGAAAGATCTCCCCAAAACATCCACTGACGGGGACACCACAGGCTTCCTCTGGGAATCCTTTCCAGGCCTCTTCCCACTGACCACGCTTCTCCTTTTCTCTGCAGCCTTGTAGGGTGATTGCTGACATAAGCTATATATACTTACTTCACTTGACTACGTGCCTTCTATCTCCCTTCCTTTACTGTTTTTCATTCCTAGAGAACAGAGGACTTCCTGGATATGTTCATCTTTGTGCCTCTAACATCCGCCCAGTGTCCAGCACCTCTTAGGGCCCAGAATCTTAAAGTGCCAAGGAGTATTTGTTGAGTAAAACAAATGTTGAACATTTCTTCAAATGTCCAGTTGAAGAAAATAAGGTCCAAAGAGAGGAAATGGCTTACCTAGCAGCACACAGCATGTCGGGAAGTGAAAAGTAAACAGAGTTGTGGAAATAAATAAGACCACCCAAACGGGAACAAGCAAACCATATTTATTCAGTTTATCATAGCAAGGGAGTTGGCCATAGTCACTTGCATTTGGCAGAAACTCAAAAGTAGGCAGAGCAGTGGGAAAGCTTTCTAGTAGGAAAGGGAAGGCTTCCGGTGTGCTCTGAGTGGAGACTTGTTGGCATGAGGGTTGGCTAGAAGCAAAACATTGTATGTCATTGGTTAGGGGAGCATATTAATCAAACTCTGGCTGTTTGGGGGATACAAGGATTATTGTGGCACCCGTTGACACAGATAGTAGTTAGACTTGGACTGGTTACTGCCCATAATGGATTACCTTCTGGGCTGATTGCTTAAGGTTGTAGGTCAGAGTCCTCTTTTTCTAGATGGTCTGGCCATTATCTATATGTATATTCAGTCTCTTCTATTCACATAATTATTCCCCTTCCCTTCACCCCATAATCAGAACACTCTTTGGATTTCTGCCTGACTCAGTGCTTCCTGAATAGCTATTCTATGATGTTAAGTAAACACCGGCTGCCTCTCACTTTGGCTTTTTAGTTTTAGGTTAACACCCATACAGGTATGTGACGTGGGCCAGTCTTGTCAAGAGCCCAGCTGCCTAAAGGAGTTCCCTTCCATTCCTGGGGGGGGGGGGGGGGGGGGGGGGAGAGAAAGAAACCCTGAATACCAGGAAGGCAAAGGAACCATAAGCAAGCCCATCCCTAACTTAAATGAAACTATTACCCGATTTAAAGGCAGAGTGAAATAATTTCTCCCCTGCACCTCCACTCCAACGGGACTGCTGTTGCATTCTGGGGGTGAGACAGTGGGCAGGAAGTGGCAGGCATTGGGGGGAGCTGTCAATATCGTCTAGCATTGGAACAAAGGACAAAAAGACTGGGGGACTGGCGGTGTACACGGACTAGAGACTGCACAGAGAACCCCAAGATAGTAACCACAACAGATCAACGGAACCTTCTGGTCGGTGCCCAGCTGCTCAAAATCCTGGGCCATATCTGGATAAATGCGGAAGGACACCCAGACAATGCTCTCGTGGGGCTTATGAGAACTCCCCCAAGCGGTGATGGGAGGAAAGGAGGCTCCCCCGCAGCTGGTCCTTCTCCAAACCCAGTGCAGAGGTAGAAGAGGGCTGGGCAGTCCGGGGCGGGGTCACAGGTGCGGTGTGTGGAGGAGGAGATCTGGGTAGAATGCAGCTTGCTGACCACGCCCCTGTTCGGACAAAAAAACGGGCACCCCAGCTGGGCAGGAACGAAGGGTGCACGGAGACGTGAGCTTTACAACGCATGGGTGTTACTAAGACAGAACATTCTTGGAAAGAACCCAGCAGAACCCAGCAAAGCATGTGTCTACCCCTAGACTAAGAAACTTAACTGGCAGCCCGGCTGGGCCCCCTCCCTGCTGCTCCCTCCTCAGGCAGGGAGTCTGTCTGTCTCTCAATAAACTTGGCTTCCGCTTACCATCTCGGTCCATGAACTCATTCTTCAGTTTTGCAAGAAAACGAACTCGGACCCGAGCAGAAATTCTGACATCACCAGCCCCACTGCCTCACTGACTGCTCTGCAGGCGAAACGACAGACCACAGCGACTGGGTGCAAACTCCACCCCCAGGGAACCCCTAAACCAAAGCGCAGACTACAGGGCCGGAAGTGCATCACCGTTTTTCCGGCCATGGGACCTCACCCCCATCCCCGCAGCCGCTCTAGCACGCCCGGAGGCCGCCTCTGCGTGTTGTTGGTCCTTTCATGCCATCCTGCCCGCTCCCAAGTTCTGCAGAGCTGCGGCTGAAGAGTCGGAGGCAGGGACCTGCCTCCGGATGCCCTGGTCTGCTTAGACCGCTGGCCCCGGTCAACTCGGAGAAACTGGGAGGCCTCTGCCGGCGGAATAGCCAGGAATTCCTGCCGGTCCCTCTGGCCGCCCCTCAGTCTGGATCTGTTGGCGGCAGCGGGGAGGGCACCTGTGGGGCCAGACGGGGACCTGGGCTCAGCAACCTCAGTACTTGAGCTCTGGCTAGGAAAGAATTCAGAGCCAGGACTCAAACTCTAAGAGAACATGTATTTATAAGATCACAGGGTTAGAAGAAGTAATTGGTAGAAGAAATGGGCTTATGAAACAAGTTGTAGAGGCAAAGGAAAGGCCCTTGGAGCTTAGATGTGTGGGAGGTAGAGGTGACAGGCCTGGAAGGGAAGGGGGAGAGAGGGGAAGCAGGCATGCTCCCAGGAGGGAGAGACTGGATTCTCCTTCCTCTGAGTTTCAAGGATGGAGATTTTAGGGGAGGGCCCAGGGCAAGATCTCAATAGAATATTCAGCAGCTTTCCAGGTGTGTCCTCTCAGGGTTCTGATCACCACTGATTGATGGGTGGGCACCAGGGCAGGGGGTCGTTACTTCCTGAGGTCAGTCTTGGTGTCGGGTGTCTGGTTTTGCTGCTTTTCTGGGCCTGGAGCTGAAATGCTAGTACAACTGAGGCCTAGATGGTATCTGTAGGGAGGGAAGGTCAGGGAGGTCCAGCCCACAAGACAAGCCAGTGATGTGCTAGGGAAGGCGAGGTCACCCTGGGGATGAGATCCCAACCTACAACTGTCTGTTGCTAGGCACCTGAGGCTTTCCGCCTGGTGACCTTCTGTACTTGGCCCACGGTCCTTGCTCTGCTCATGTCTGTCTAACGGGCCTACCACAGATCCAGGCAGCCCGTGGCTGGTGAGAAAGGGTTCAAGGCAGAGGGTCACTGAAAGCACGAATCCAAACTGAGCCTGGGGAGCCACACCCTGCTGGAGGCTCTTCCCCTCAGCTCTGCAGCCACATTGGCCCAGAGTAGGTGTGCACCCCATCTGTACCTTAGGACAACCCTGATATATGCTTTGAGCTGCACACCCCACACACCTTTATCTCCATCTCTGGCACCACCACTACCCAAAACGCCTGGTCTTGGCATCCTCCAGGCCTTCATTTAATTACCACCAGATTAGTGTAGCCTTCGTGACTCCCCACTTCCCTTCCTACTCTGCTTTGCTCTTCTGTGCAGCACTTAAGACAATTGTAATGATATACTTCTGTGGGCAATGATTTAATATATTTCCCCTTAGACCATAAATTCCATGAGGGCAGGGACTATGTCTGTCTCATTCAGGTTGTAGCAACATTTCTGGAAGTTAAGTGATCAGTAAATATCTGTTGAAAGGATAGATGGGGCTGTTCCAAGGAAGGAGGGAATGAATGGATGAATAGATGTGAGTGAATGAATGCAGGTGAGAATGAATGTAAGGTGGTACTGCCACCCATTAAAAACTGAAGCCGGTTTGGCTCAGTGGATGGAGCATCAGCCTGCGGACTGAGGGGTCCCAGGTTCTATTCCAGTCAGGGGCACATACCTTGGTTGTGGGCACATCCCCAGTAGGAGGTGTGCAGGAGGCAGCTGATCGATGTTTCTCTCTCATTGATGTTTCTCTTCCTTCCTCTTTGTCCCTCTTCCCTCCTCTCTGTAAAAAAAATCAATAAAATATATTAAAAAACAACAACTGGGGGACTAAGTTCAGCTCATTGGAGTTGGCCCACAATTTGCCAGCTAGATCCTAAAGCTGGAGGGAGTTAATGGTGCTGAGTTCCTGCTGTGCCCTACGCATGGAGGAAGAGCAGGGAAGTTTCCAGCTCCTGTGAAGTAGAGCTGCACACACAAAGGGAACTCACCCAGGAGGGCATGTAGCAATCCTGTGGTTATCTGAGGAGACAGAGTCCCTGTTTGCAGATCATTTAGGAAATCAGAGTCATTCGGGGGTGATCAGAAGTGGTTGGATTGAGTCTGAATTTCACCAATCACAACAATGGGCTGGGCTGCTTGACTGGTATGGATGCCAGTCCATACCAGGAAACCACCGGATGGACAGGACAGCTTTCTCCTCCTGGGGCCTGCTGGCAGGGACCTGACCTGACACCTCACAGAGGCCCCTATCATCTGGTTCTGCCTGATCTTAAATAAACACCGGCTGCCTCTCACTTTGGCTTATTTTTAGGTTAACAACGATATATGTGACATGGGCTGGTTGGCAAGAGCCCAGCTTCTGCAAACAAATTTCATAATCTCTCAAGATTTCCAGTATGTCCTTGCTAGACAAGTATGCAAAGCAGCTGGGCCAAGGCCAGACCCCTAGACCAGAGGCTCAGAGACTGACATCAGGTAAGGGAGGGGTGGATGTGAAACTTGGTTATTGCTCGGTACATTTCTGATGAACAAGACAGCCAATTAATGCATCATTGCACCTGAGTATAATAAATAAAGGGGTGAGTGGTCAGAGATCATGGAGGTGGGAGCAGAGGCAAGGAAGGCTTTGTAGAGATGATGCAGCTGGAGCTGGTAAGGGGCTGTGACCCTAAGCTACAGACTTCCTCCTGGTCCCACCCCTTCCTCCCTCACATGACCAGGCTCTCTAGCAAGTGCTAATTTCACTTCCACAGACGGTCCTCCCCAGGCTTGTTTACTGTAACTTGCAACCATAGGGAAAGGTCCAAGTGGGCAGGCCTCTCCGTCCCCAGCTTGTCAACACCTGCCAGAAGCTCTCCGGTCAGTCTGTCCAGAGTTTAACCTGGAAGAGCACAGCCATGGTGCTCTGGGGTCCGCTGCTGGGAGCCCTGCTGGTGGTCATGGTAGGGTACCTGTGCCTGCTGGGGCTGCTCCGGCAGCGCAGGCCCCAGGAGCCCCCTCTGGACAAGGGCCCTGTGCCCTGGCTGGGCCATGCCATGGCTTTCCGGAAGAATATGCCTGAGTTCCTGAAGCGCATGCGGGCTAAGCACGGGGACGTGTTCACAGTGCAGCTGGGGGGCCAGTACTTCACCTTCGTCATGGACCCCCTCTCCTTCGGCCCCATCCTCAAGGACGTGAAGAGGAAACTGGACTTCGTGGAGTATGCGGAGAAGCTGGTGCTCAAGGTATTCGGATACCAGTCCGTCCCGGGCGACCACCGGATGATACACTCCGCCAGCACCAAGCACCTCATGGGCCACGGCTTGGAGGACCTCAACAAGACCATGCGGGACTGCCTGTCCTTGGTGATCCTGGGGCCCAAGGGCCCGAGCCCGGAAGCCAGCGGCTGGCGTGAGGATGGCCTCTTTCACTTCTGCTACAACGTCTTGTTCAAGGCCGGCTACCTGAGCTTGTTTGGCTACACGAAGGACTCGGAGCGGGACCTGCTCCAGGCGGAGGAGCTGTTTACGGAGTTCCGGAAGTTCGACCGCCTGTTCCCCAGGTTTGTGTACTCCTTGCTGGGGCCCCGGGAGTGGCTGGAGGTGGGCCGGCTCCAGCGGCTCTTCCACAAGACCCTCTCGGTGAAAGAAAACCTGGAGAAGGATGGCGTGAGCAACTGGATAGCCTACATGCTTCAGTTTCTGAGGGAGCAAGGGGTAGCCCCGGCCATGCAGGACAAGTTCAACTTCATGATGCTGTGGGCCTCGCAGGGGAACACGGGGCCTACCTCTTTCTGGGCCCTCTTGTTCCTCCTGAAGCATCCGGAAGCCATGCAGGCTTTGAGAGAGGAGGCCGCCCGGGTCCTGGGGGAGGCCCGGCAGTCTTTCAACTTGGATGTCAGCGTCCTGCAGCGCACCCCGGTGCTGGACAGCGTGATGGAGGAGACGCTGCGGCTGGGAGCAGCGCCCACCCTGCTCAGAGTGGTGCACGATGACCACGTGCTGACGATGGCCAGCGGGGAGGAGTACCGGCTCCGCAACGGAGACATCGTGGCCCTCTTCCCTTACCTCTCAGTGCACATGGACCCGGACATCCACCCCGAGCCCACTGCCTTCAAGTACGACCGCTTCCTCAACCCCGATGGCAGCCGGAAGGTGGACTTCTACAAGGCGGGCAAAAAGATCCACCACTACACCATGCCCTGGGGCTCGGGCGTCTCCATGTGTCCCGGCAGGTTCCTGGCCCTCAGCGAGATGAAGCTCTTTGTTCTGCTCATGATCACACACTTTGACCTGGAGCTGGTGGACCCCGACACGCCGGTGCCGCCCGTGGACCCCCAGCGCTGGGGCTTTGGCACCATGCAGCCCAGCTATGAAGTGCGCTTCCGATACCGCCTGCGGTCCCCTGAGTGAGCTCTGCCGGGGGGGACGGGGGGGTGCAAGCCTGACCAGAGGGGCTCCCTGGGGGTCTTCACCTCCTCTTGCTCCTGTGCAGCCAAGACCCCCACCTGATTACTGCTCCCTGGCACCCCTATCTCTGTCCTGGTGATCCTCCTTGCTCTCTTGACTCCTTCTGGTCATCTCACAGGCTTACCATTCTCTTGCTCAAGCCCCCTCACAGTGGGCTCTGCAGGCCCTCCTTTCACAGGAAGGCCAGAGGAAGGGAAATGTCTGGGAGTTAACACAGGCCTCCACCAGTCCTGCGGGATAGAAGCTGGTACCCACGAGGAGCTCAGCATCTTGCCAATGTGACCTACATCTCCCCCTCTTCCACCTTAATTTCCGCCCCCCCCCCCTCAGTACTATTCCATGTCTTCTGGAATTCACATTCTAGAACCATGTTGTCCAATAGCAATGCAAGGCAAGCCACAAGTGTAATTTTTAATATCTTAGTTGATATATTTTTTAAAAATAAAAGAAGGGGTGAAGGGGTAAAAGATCAACCAAAGGACTTGTATGCATGCATATGAGCATAACCAGTGGACACAGACATTAGGGAGGTGAGGGCATGTGCTGGGGTTTGAGAGTGGCCTGGGAGAGGTCAATGGGGGGGAAAGGAGACTCATGAAATACTTTAAACAATAAAGAATTTAAATAAAAAATAACAAATAAAAAAATAAAGGAAGCAAGTAAAATTTGTTTTTATGATATACTAGAGGCCCAGTGCACAAAATTTGTGTTCAGGAGAGGGGTGTCCCTCAGCCCAGCCTGAACCCTCTCCAATCTGGAACTCCTGAAGGGATGAACCTCAGTGGAATCTGGCCTAAATGGGCGGTCGGACATCCCTCTCACAGTTCAGGACTGCTGGCTCCCAACTGCTCGCATGCCTGCCTTTCTGATTGTCCCTAACTGCCATCCCCTGCAGGCCTGGTTCCACCCCTACTGCCCTCCCCCGCTGGCCTGATCACCCACAACTGCCCTCCCCTGCCGGCCATCTTGTGGTGGCCATCTTGTGTCCACATGGGGGTGGCCATCTTGTTGTTGGAGTGATGATCAATTTGCATATTACCTCTTTATTATATAAGATTGTACTTATCCTCATGCTAGTATATCCAAAATATTAGCATTTCAACATGTAATTGATATAAAGAATATTTCTAGATTTATTTTTGGTATTGCCTTCCATATCTGGTATGTACTTTTTTTTTTTCCTGGTATGTACTTTTTTAAAAATCGAACTTTAGGGGGGGGGACATTGGTTAATAAAATATATAGGTTTCAGGGGTACGATTCTATAAAACATCATCTGTATATTGTATGTTCAAAAACCTGGTATGCACTTTTTACCCTTCCAACACGTCTCAGGTCAAGTCAGCCCCATTCCAAGGGCTCCCACAGCCATGTGTGGGTGGTGGCCACCAGACAGGGACAGCCAGTAGAGAAATGCTGACTTCATGTAGAAGTGATTCAAGCATTTCTCTCCACGCCCAGCCTGCCAGGCCCTCTGCTCACTCTGCTGCCAGAGACCTTTCTTCTAAAAGCATCTCTAATTGTCACTATTTTATTTTCTGGTTCCCCATTCCCTTCCCGCACCTGGTATTATTTAAGTTTTGCCTCAGTTGGTCTCCAAATTGTCCATCCCGTGCAATTCAACGTCACCAGCTTTCCCTAGTGGAACTCTCTGGGTCTAGGAAGCACAGCTGCTTGCTTGTCCTGCCAACCCCAGTGCCAGCTACTCCTGGAAGCCTTCTTAGGTCCCCATCCCATCCTCTGGCCTCCAGCTATGGGGGCTCCCCAAGTACTGTTTGCATCACCGCGCATCTGTTATGTGTCCTTGCTATCTGTCCGGGATTTCTCCTCCTGTCCCCTCCCCACACTGGAGCCCATGAGGCTTGGTATATTCCTCATCTCTGACCCCCCCAATTCCCCAGATGTGGATTAAATTATAGAAACCTGACTTCCAGTCTCAGCTAATTTACTTCACGTCCTCAAATCACTTCCTTCCCTCCATGCCCTCACTTAGCTTTCTGGCATATGAACTAGAGACAGTTCCTGTTGCCGGGCATACTTACCAGGGGTGGGAGAGGGGGAGGGGAAGCTGGCTGATGGCAGGGCCTGGCTGGGGCTGTGATCATGGGAACTGTTGTAGGGTCCTGGAGGAGGGAGGCCCCAGAAGCATGGACCCCCTGCAAGGACTGCCCAGTGGGGCTTCTCTCTGCTACTCCTCCCCGACACCTCTTCCTTCCTGTTGAGGTTGCCTGTTCTGCCCTGAGTTTTGCCCAGATAATAGACTATCAGGAGTCTGTCCCCACCAGCTATGTGATTCTGGGTCAGGGCCTGCCTTTCTCTGGGTCTAGCTGCCCCTAAATGCTGAGCCTGACATCCCATATAAATGCATTAGGAGAAGATGGGACATCCCATCCTATTTCATGAGGGGCCAGCTTATATAGAGTTAGTAGGGTGCACAGGAGAGGGAGAAAGGGGCTGAGAGGCTGGGGGCTGACCATGGGGAGGTCCCCAACAACCTGCCCACATAGTCAGGCCTGGTGCCAGCGCAGGTGTGGAATGAAGCAAAGTGGCAGGGCCTTCACATACCTCCTTGACCATGCCCAGACCTGGGTGCTGCATCCTGTCTCTTCCCCCCCACCCCCACACCCACACCCAAAGGACCACGGGCCAGGAGCCTGGCCTATGGACAAGCTGGGTAAGGGCTGAGGGCTCCAGTCCACTGAGTCAGGGCCCAGAGTCCCAACTGAGATTGAACCTCATGGATCCTGTGACCTGTCTGAGGGTCTGAGACTGAGGGAAGCCTCAGTGGTTGGGTATGAAGTAAGTACAAGTATCCTATCCCACAGCCAAGGATGTCCATGTAACAACAGGCCTCCCAGGAAGCCGTGAGTTCCCAGAGTTAGAGAATGCACTTACAGGCCAATGCCCACCGCTGATCCCCATGGGGGCTGCTGGAGACACCCTCTCCAAGGGCCCCCCTTCCTTCTTCGCAGAGGCTTGAGGCAGTAGGAAGACTGAGACCTGTCCTGACCCAGCAGTTCTCATCCCTGCACCAGTTTTTCTCTCCCTCAGAGAAAAACCCACTCTGTGTCTTCTCTGAGGAAAGCTTATAACAAAGCCAGTCAGGAATGTCGTGCCAATGGTGCAATTCCAGGCACCCCAGGAAGAAAAGAGATGTTTTCCTAGGTAGTAACTGCTGCGAATGCCCTCGCCACACTTCCCAGGCTGGAGGGTGGGCAGCCTGCTCCTGGACTGAGCCACGCCTGCCTTTCCCCCTTAGCAGGTCCCCAGGTGCTACATCCCCAGAGTCTCTGGACTGCCAGGCTCCGGAGCCACCACCAAGGTTGCAACATTAAACAAAACAACACCAGAATTTCCTCAACTGAACTAGAGGGCCAGGAGCAGCTTGGTGGGTGGGTGGCCTCAGGCTTCTGGGAGGGAGATGGCAGTGAAGGCTGTAGATGTTGCAATCACTCTGGCTGCTGGGTGCAGAGTAGATGACCGGAGAAGGTGACAACAGGACACAGAGGTCAGTTGGGCGACCGCTGAAGCAGATCAGGGAGTATGATGTCCTGGAAGGAGTGAGCGGGTGCTGCCGAGGGCTGAGGGCTGAGGACTGAGCTCTGGGCTGAGCAACGTGGTCACTGGGGCCCTTGGAGAGAAGACGCTGGGTGGATGCCCAGCTCAGTCGGGCCCCCTCCACTCTCACCAGACTGTGGCATAGCCGCTGAGGATTTATATTCCCCGAGAGCCCCCTTGTTGGGGGAGTCCTCAGACTGCCCCTCCTCAAGGTCTTTCATGCTGGTCATTTCTTGGATGGTGAGGCTGCTACTCTCACAACAGCTGGACAGCGGGGCCTGGACAGGGCACGGTCCCTGGCGCCGTCCAAACAACTCGGCCAAGAAAGCCTTTAGGTACTGGCAGAAGCAGCGGATGGAGAAGGCGTAGAGGACGGGGGTGACGCAGCAGTGAAGGAAGGCGATGCTCTCTGTGACCTGCAGCGCATAATCCAGGTAATTGCTGGTCTTGCAGTCCCCGAAGACTTTCAGGTCCATGAGCGAGTGCAGGAACAAGATGAGGTTGTACGGGAACCAGAGCACGAAGAAGGCCACCACGAGGGCAACGGCTACCTTCAGAGCCCGGCCCTGGCCTGGGGGCCTCAGCCTGACCAGGGCAGAGCCGATGCGGAAGTAGAAGAAGATCATGGCGAAGAGTGGAAGGATAAACCCCAGGATGTTCTGCTGGAAGCGGAGTATGAGCTTCCAGATGGTCCCATGCCCCCCGAAATCCGCATAGCAGTTCCACACCCCCTCATGGTTTTGGTGGGTCCGCACAAAGACCATGTCAGGGATGGAGACAGCCAGGGCCACAGCCCACACTATGACAGCGAGGAGCCAGCGCTTGGCCCGGGTCCTCAGCTTGTGGTGGGGCTGAGCGTGGACGATCTGCAGGTACTTGTCCAGGCTCATGCAGCTAATGAAGAAGATGCCACTGTAGAGGTTGATGGTATAGAGAGTGCTCACCATCTTGCACAAGAAATTGCCGAAGACCCAATGCCAGGCCACAGTGATGATCCAGAAGGGCAGGGTCACCACAAACAGGAGGTTGGAGATGGCCAGATTCAGCAGGTAGACTTCCGTCATCCTCCTGCGAGGCACGTACCGGAGCAAGACCACTAGGAGGAGGAGGTTCCCGCTCAGGCCCAGCACAAAGACCAGGCTGTAGAAGACCGGCAGGAAGACTTTGCCAAAGGCCAACACCTCGTGCTTCATGCAGGGCGCGAAGACCACGTTGTCCAAGTAGTACTCATAGTCATAGAAGTCGCTGCTGTTCTCAGAACTGGCGACCTTAGTGGTGAGTGGCTGAGGGGAAGTGGCCATGTCAGGAGGATACATCCTGTCCTGGAGCACTGCAGACCAGAGAGTAGTGTGCGAGAAATAAGATGAAGGCAGGCAATCCCTCCCTCTCTTCAAACCCAGTTTCTACTGTCCAATGGACCCTTCATGTCTACATCAGTGTCTGGAGCCGAGCAAGCATGAGCATAGGTGTGGGAGCCCGAATCTACAATGAATAGTGATACCTTGGGTAGGTATTCACTTCTTTCCTTATGGTTCTCTTCTTTATTTTCTCCCTTGTCATTTAAAAAGACTGGTACTGTCTTTCTGATTTTTCTTCCTTATTTAGGGCTACCAGTTCATCTATTGATTCTGTCTCCATACTCTTCCTCGTTTGTGGCTTATCATTATTCTTCGTGGGGCTTATATATATATATTTTTTTGAATGAGAGCTTCTTTTCAGTGGGCTTGTTTTATCTATAAAAGTCTAGTGTGCCCACTCTGGCTTGAACCTTTTTTATTTCCATCACCTGAGGGTGTCCCTTGCTTTTGTTTACAGTATTTTATTTATAAGTATGGCTTTATATCAGTATTTTCTTTTATGTTTAATATTTTAATATATTTTATCCAGTATTTTCAGATTTGTAGTAGAAAGGAGTGATCTACCATGTTGATAGAAACTACTAAACTTTTCCATCCCTCAGTCTCATCTTTAAAGCGATCGTGATAATTAATAGGGCCTACTCCTGGGGTTCTTTTGAGGCTTAAATGTGATAATTCATGTGAAGCACTTCAAGCCCTATAAAGAGTGCCCAGAACATAGTAGGCACTTAATAAATATTAGTTTAAATTATTGCCTCACCCAGAACTGAGTCAATCACCTTCCCACCAGCTACTTCTCCTCTCCTTTGTCTACCTAACTGAATGGCACCACCAACTACTCAGTCACCTAAAACTGAAACATTAGAGATATCCCAGATTCCTTCCTCACCCCCTCACCACCATTCTCCTACCTTTGGAATATGTCCACTACCTCCAAGTCCCATACAAATATATGTATGATATTATTTTAATAAAATATAAATGCACTACACACACACACACACACACACACACACACACACACACACACACACACATATATATATATATATATATATATATATATATATATATATATATATATATATGAGTTCAAAGAGATGAAAGGGAAAGTCAGAGAATGATTGGCAGCTGCCTAGGCAGAAGAAGCCAGATACATGGTCAAGTTCTCTCTGGGATGATGGTTCCCCAAGCTTAATGGTGCTATTAAAAGAGACTCTCACACGAAGCAGTGATGAGAGACTGTCATGAAGCAAGATTAGGTTCCATCTTGTTCTGTGTTCCAGAACAGAAACATCATGTCCAATGTGCTAGATTGTTCACCACAGGGAGAGGGTCTGGGAGGGAGAGGGGAAGGAGATAAGGAGGGAGGTGTGGCCCAAACAGGCAACCCTGCACAGCTACCAGAGTGGAGCCTGGAGGCTGCCCATGATCACGGGCCACAAAGGGGAACACAAGCCACCCCTACATGTTCCTCTGCATATTAGTGTTTATTCTTTGATTCAAAGGAGATTGAACTTTTAAAAATATATATATTTTATTTATTTATTTTTTTTACAGAGAGGAAGGGAGATGGAGAGTTAGAAACATCAATGAGAGAGAAACATCAATCAGCTGCCTCCTGCACACCCCATACTGGGATGTGCCTGCAACCAAAGTACATGTCCTTGACCGGAATAGAACCTGAGATCCTTCAGTCTTCAAGCTGATCCTCTATCCATTGAGCCAAACTTTTTAATATGTTCAATGACAGCTTTATTTCTTGTGTGAATGAATTATTATTTTAATGAGTGGGATTCTCATTTTGTAGAAGGTTTTATATTTATAAGAATTTTAGCTTTTTATATATTGAATATATACTAGAGGCCTGGGGCAGGAAATTCGTGCACTCTGAGAAAGGGGTGTCCCTCAGCCTGGCCTGCGCCTTCTCACAGTCTGGGAACCCTGACCTCAATCGCCCCAAGAGTTATGCCTTGCCCACCTGGTGGGGCTCTGTGATTAATCTGCTGGTCAGTTGTCTGGGCCTCCCTCTTTGGGGCAATTATGGAGCCCCCTGATTGATCACTCTGCTGGCCAGTGGCCTGGACCTCCCTCTGCATGGCTACCATGAAGCGATGGCCAGGCCCCTGACCAATCGCATCACACCCACCTTGGCTGGCCTGGTGCCAGTGGGTGTCATAGTGTGGTCCTGATGATTGTTTTGCTGTTCTGCCGTTTGGTCAATTTGCATATTACGCTTTTATTACTATCGATTGTAAACATTTCCCCCAGTTCTTTCTAATATAAGTTTTGTCTATTTTACTTTTCCAGGTAGAATCTGGAAACAGATATTGACTCACATCCTCAGCAGACCCCTCTAGTTTCTTTGGAGCTGTGATTTCATAGCTGAAGGAAATATCCAATGCTGCTGAGGCACAACCTCTCCCAGGGCAGGTCTGGTGTCCTCCTACTCCTTGTCCCACCCTTGGGATTCTACTTACATGGCATCTGGGCCAGATGCTGAGAAAATCACATACACACCCTGTTGCCATGCCAGGAGCTCAAGAGTGGCAACAGGGTGTGTATCCAGGGCTCTGCTCCTGACTGGCCTCAGGAACATGGCCCTATGCCTTCCTTTCCTGGTCCTCCATTCAGCTCCTGTGCCTCTGGGGTCTCCTGTCCCCCCAGCCCCTCCCTTTCCTGGGCAGCAGCAAGCACCCCCCCAGCACGTGGCTGGCGCTGGGAGTCGTGAGCTGTGGGGCTGGGAGGGGGAGGTGCTCTTCTGCGCTGGGGCCTGATTGGAATTCATTAGTCAGGAGTTGCCACTAACTAAACACCAGCAGCTCTGCTCTATCATCACTGAACTTGGTCCTGGCATGATTTCTCAGAGTCCTTGGCTTTTGCTTTGACAAACAACAAAGTCTGACGATTGCTTTGATCAAAGCCAGATGTCAGGACGAGCAGGCCCTAGGCTGGCCTACACCACCTGGAACACTCTGTTCCCTTCCATCTCGGCCTCCTTATCGTTCACTCTGGGAGTCTTTCCAGGTCCTCTGGCTCTCCGAGGCCACCAGCCAGCCCCTCCCACCACTTTCATCAACAGCAGCAACCACCCGCCCCAGGTACACATGGGAAATGGCCAGGCACCTTCATATCCATGGTGGCAGTCCTGTAAGGCACTCACTCCAGGAAGGAACTGCCAGCACCATTTAACCCACAAGCAAAGCAACCTTTTCACCACCTCGGAGGAAGGCACTGGCTGAGCTGCATCTGAATCCTGGAGACAGTGCCTTGTCCCTCGTCCCATCGTTCTGGTCCCAACCACCTGACCTGTCCAGCTTACTGAAAGGAGCCACCTGAGAGGTGGGATCTGGGCTCAGGAGGGCTTGGTTGCCCAGAACATTGCCCTTACTGGCTGGTCTGGCCTCTGTAGATTCCACCACTGATGTCCCCAAGGCTTCATTGTGCCTCCTTGCAAAACACAGCCTCCCTAAGGTCCGCCTCCCAAAGATATCCACCTCCTGACCCCTGCAACCTGTGACTATGTTACTTTCTATATCAAAAGGATTTCTCAGAGGTGGTTAAGTTAAGGATCTTGAGATGCAGAGAGGATCCTAGGTTATCCAAGGTAATCACAGGGTCCTCAGCAGGAGGCAGGAGCTCCGAGTCGGAGGAGAGGTGACAAGGGAAACGGCAGCGAGAGGAAAGCGGTTGGAATGAGGGCAGGCGTTCTCTGGAAGCTGGAAGAGGCAGCGCACAGATTGTCCCCGGAGCCTCTGAGGAATGCAGCCCTGTTGACCTGTTTTCTTTTTTCTTTCTCCTTGTTGATTCATTTTAGACTTCTGACCTCCAGAACATGAAAATGATAATTTTGTGTTGTTTCAAGCCACTGGTTTTGTGGGTTTTGATGCGTTGGCAGTAGGTGCTATACTTCCTGTGACCTTTTGTGCCCTCAGAATCTCAGACTGAGGGAGGAAGAGTGAACCCTGTCCACCTTCTTCAAATAGGTGGGGAAACTGAGGCCCAAAGGAGGGGAGAGACTTGTGCAAAGCATACAATGAGCAGTCAGTGGCCGGACTGAGCCAAGAACCCCATACTCCTTGCTGCCCTTCGGGTCCCTGTTACCTCACCCCTAACTGTCCATCCAGCCCCGTTCTGGTTCTTTCCTTTTGGTTTTCACGTTTCCTTATTGCCTGAGTTCATTCAGTTTATCCAGCGACACCTTAAGAGGAATGAATGGGGGGCATCAGTTATCCACATCCTCGTATGAATCAGCGGGTAGGAAGGCAATCCCAGATAAAGATCTGTAGTGGAACTTTAGGGGAATCCAGGGAACTCTATACAGGCTAGAGAGGGGGGCTTTTAAAAAGAGGGTAGCAAGGACAAGGTCAGCCGAGCTCCCCCTGCAGTGAAGCCCGGGGCACAGAGGCAAACCATAGCTTATCTCTAGCTATAGCTACTTCCTGAGCCTGCTGCCTGAGCTGGCTCCAGCTTTGACTTATCAAGAATGTCTGGCTGGAGAGCAGGCCTCCTCCTAAGGACCTCAAGGCCTCTCAGAGAAGTCTCGTGTGGAGCGATGAGGGAGAGGATGGTCTCCACCCATCTGGACAGGAAGGCAGCCATGCTAGCTGAGCTCCTTCTGTGAGCTGCACCCTCACGTGCAGTTCCTCAGATAATCCGCGCCATAGTTCTGGGAAGCAGTACTGTTATGACCCCCATTTTTCCAGAGGAAGAAACTTGAGGCTTGGAGAGGTGAAGCCCAACGTGTCCACGGCTTTGCCTCCGTCGATGATGGAGCCAAGATCAGATGACCTGGACACAGGTAAATCGGTTGACTTTCTCCCCAGCTCCCCTTTCCACACGGACCAAACTTGGATTTGAAGCATGAGCCTCCGGCCGTGGGACTTCTCGCCTTGGCAACGAGTGGCAGAGAAGATTCAAAGTCAGTCATGACCCGGAGCCAGCTCTGAGGCGTCCGGGGGGGCATTCCACCCACAGTAACGAAGTTAGCCGATCTGCACTCAGTGAAGCTGGTAGCTGGAAATTAGTCCTGGTGGGGATGTCTATACCATGGCAAGTGCTACAAATAGGAGCCCCCCCCCCTTCTGTGTGTGCCCCCTACTCACACCCCATAAGAGAGCTGATCATTAAACCTTTACTGGCACAACCCTTCTCAGGACCCCGTGGAGCTTGAGCAAACCCTGACTGTCTCTCTGTCTGTCTCCCTGCCTGTGTCTCCCACCCCCTTTTCTCTTCCCCCTTCCACATCTGTGCCACAGCTGCCCACCACCTGAGTCAAAAGCTCTTGAGGACAGTCTCATGTGTAGGTCCCCTCTCAGTCACAGACACCCATGCTGAGCGTGCTGGCCACAGTGCTTGAGACCAGTGAACAAATAAACAGCATCAAACATGACCCCAAGAGGCCATGCCAGCTTTCAAAATAAAAACCAAGAAAAACACTGGAGATCAATTCTAGTTGGTCAGGCATTTTTGCTGGCTTCCTTACAATTTAAAACTCTTATCCTTTCAAATGTAACCTAAACCCTCCCTTCCCAGAAGCCTATGGGGTCCACTGACCTGATGCAACCCTGCCCCAGCTTCCTCCCCTCCTTATTCCCTCCCCCCGCCCAGCACTCACAGGTCACCTGTCAGCCTCAGAACCCACCTCCCGGAAGCAGGATCCCCTCACCTCCTGTGACAGACTGGCATTTGCCCAGGGGGCTGGCATTAATCAGCACCACCACCTGTCTCCCACCCTTCTCTTGCCTCCTTTTCCCTTACCTGGCTCTCTGCCTCCCCCACTGACGCCCTGGACACAGCTGAGCCAAAAGCCTTCTGAAAGCTGTTTTCTTGGCCTGAGCCAACTCTGCCCCCGCAGCCTGGACTCTGTGGAGCCAGTGACCATGCAGTGTGACCCGCCTAGAGACCCACTATTTCCACTTGAGTCATGTCCAGTGTCATGGAATGTGCCCTGTGGTCACCCCAACACCCCTGAGGCTCCCCTCGCTGCTTCAGAAGGACTGGGGTAGAATGGAGTTCCAACTAGACACCGCCTGGCTAAGCTTGGAATGGGCACCCCCTGCCTTTAACCCTGGCATTGCCACCCTGCATGCCCAGCCCAGCTGTGGCTAACCAAGTTGAATAAGGAGTTGAGAAGTAACTCACACCCTGACCACAGGTTCTGGCTGCAGAAGGTGCTCTGGTGTTGGGTCACATGGCAGAAAACCTGCCTCTGGGGGAACTGGGATCTCCTTCTGGGACTGGGAAAACAGCTGCTGTGGCCACAGCAACAACGACAACACAAACAACAGGAACACCCACCACATTCGCGGCACTTCCTAGTGGCCAGGCTGTGTTCTCAGAACTTGACCACATGCACCCATTCATTCCATCCTTGCAAAAACACTTTGAGGCAGGTACTTACAACCACTTCTACTTTACATGGGAGGAAACTGAGTTACAGAGAGGCTAAGGCACTTCCCCAAGGCCACACAGCTAGTAAGCAGCAGAGCTGGGATTTGAAACCAGGCCCGCAGTCCAGGATGCTAACTCAAATACAGGGGTGAAGGATGGGGATAGAGATGGAGAAGTGACCCGAGACCCGGGTGCTATCGCTCAGGCTGACGATGTGGGAATAGAAAAACAGGAAAAGGACGTGGCAGCGGCAGGAGGAGGATATGAGGAAAGAAGTCCAGAGCCTGGGAATGACCCTCAGGGAGAGAGCTCATGAATGGCCCGCCTCGGGGCAGAGCTGGGTCTCCCGCCCTTCTCTTCCCTCCCCTCCCCCCTGCTTCCCACTACCACACTCTGCCAGCCCTGCTGGCCCTGAGACAAGGTCAGGCTTCCACCCTGGAGCCCATTTTTTCCTCACCTATAAAATAAACACAGTCGGGGGTTCGTGAGGATTAAGTCTGATACAATTATTATAACAGCTAACAAACATCATGGAACCCTGTGTGGGATGCTGGATATTAACTCACCTAGCCTCTCATTTACTTTCTGGGAGTTAAGTACTATTATTAGCTCTGTGTTACAGCTGAGGACACAGGCACAGAGAGGGTAGGGAACTGGCCCCATGACACAGAGCAAGTGAGTAGTAGAGCCAGGAACCGAAAGCCAGAGTCCATGCTCTTAAACACTAACGTTACATTGCCTCGCAGAGAAGATAGCAGGCCAGCTGTGGTCCCCTCAGCCATGCTCTCTCTGTATGGATGCACTCACTGCTCCCAACAACCTTATGGGACAAGCATTGTTATTATTATTCCTATTTTGCAAATGAAGAAATGAGGCTCAGAGAGGGGGAGTCATTTGCCCAAGACACACAGCAAGTGGACGTCAAGACTAGCTATCAAGTCCCTGCCATTGGCTCCAGAGTTGGAGTCCTGACCACACCCTGGGAGCTGAGCTCTCTGGTCAGACCCACAGGAGGCTGGCTGCCCTGGGCATGGTCTACCACGGGAACTGCTGCATTTGGATTCAATACGATGTAAAAAACACAATGAAGACCGCAGGACCCAGTCCTGGCATTTACCTGGCGCTCAGCACTGCCTGAGGCTCTTATATTCCAATCCTCGAAAGTCTTCCTGGCTCCTTTGTGAAGAGGCTGTGCCTGTCACCTCGCTGATTTCACAAGAAGCAGTGGTGTGTGTGTGTGTGTGTGTGTGTGTGTGTGTGTTAGATCCTCCCTTCTTCCAACTGATGGACAGACATAAACTCCAGCCAGACATTCCTGAGCACTGAACCACCAATCAGCACCTGCCAAATACCCTAAGCACCCCCCCCCCCCATTCCCAAGTCCCTAGGTCCCTAATCATAGGCCCTACATGTGCTGAGTGCCCTAAGCCCCGTCCCCTCTCTTTCCTCCCCTTAAAAAGTGTATGGACCCCGGCCCTTGCTCTCTTTCTCCAGAAGGCAGCTGGCAGTGGTGCTCTTCTCTTCAATAAAGCCTGTGTCCTGGCATCTCGGTGTCCAGCCCCCACTCTGTTTCATCTTTCAGGGGGTACACCGCAAGCTAGCAGAGCTGACTCTAACCCTGAGCACTGACTGAGTCCTGGACCACTGACCCCACACTCTCTTTCTCTCTTCCTTTTTTACCGTGTATCTTTCCTGAATACAATAGTAATATAGGCTCAATATAAAACATGAAAATACAAGAAAAAAATATGCCCCATAATCTTACATTCCCCCCATCCACCCCCACCCCCCGCCCCATTCGGAAATAACCTTGGGAACGTTTGGGTATATCTCATCAGTTTTCTGCTGCACCAAACCTCCCCAGCTGAGTAGAATCACAGAGTCTAGCTGGAAGTGGTGGGTTGTCCCCTTTCCAGCAGAGGGCCCCCTGCTCCCTGGAAGATGAGCCCCGCCTGTTCCCCATGCTCCCTGGGACCCCACATCACGCCCTGTTTTCCTGGTTCCTATCAGGAAATGGTTGTGACACTGATAAATCACAGGCAACTCCTCCTTCCCAAAGCTTACTTCAGATAATGAAACCAGCTTTAGAGCCCGACTGTTCAGGGAGCTGCTGCAGTAGAAGAAATATTTTGTTATCTTTCCTCAACCAACTGTTCTTGCTTTTCTTTTTCTTTTTCCTTTTTTTTTCTTTTTTTTTTTCCATCACTATTGCCTGAAATTCTACCACTAGAGCTCCTTGGATGCATAGTTCAGCATTGTGCTGGTTCAAAATGAAACACAACCAACACCCCCAGGGAGGTGGGACACTCAGCCTGGGACAGCATGGAAGAACAGGTTGGTCCACTTCTTAATGGCTGAGTAACCCTGGGAAAATGACTGAGCCTCTCTGAGCCTTAGTTTTCTCGCCTACAAAATGCCTCCTTTGGTGGAATTTTTATAATAAAGAAATGAGTGCATGGCCCATAACTACGGTTCCCTTCCAGGCCCTAAAATGACACTTGGCTCTGTATGAGATGGACCAGGGGGAGTCCTGGGACTGTTTGGGACAGAAGGAGGGGCTGAGAACTTGGAGGGGATGGTCATGAGAGGATGGGGAGCACAAGGAGAGAGCGTGGACGTGTGTCAAAGAACACAGAGCTGGGGAACCCTCTACCCTGGGAGGGAGGGACCCTTTGAGACCAACTCATCTGCCCCCATCAAATACGCTGGGAAAGCCGAGGCCCAGAGAGGAAGGGGAGTGCCTGAAGTTCCCTAGCCAACTATCAGGGATTTTCAGAATCCACAAAGCAGATTCTCAGAGCCGGAGTCAACCAAGGAAGGGGCCAGCAGACTACACTCCTCAGCTGCTGGGGCAATTGCCCCAAAAGTTGCCCTAAAGAGAAAGCTCCACAGTGACCTCCCTTTCCCCACACATTCCCCTCCCCGAGCTCCAGGCCACTGGATCCAGACTCTCTCTGTAATCCCTGGGCAGGGCCCACCCCACGCTGAAAGCGGCCACAGCGCACTGGAGCCAGACCCACCTGCCTGGGAGGTGCACCCAGTGCACAGGAGGAGAGCAGCAGCGCCGGGTCCTTCCTCAGGGAAGTGCAGAGGGTGTGTTCCTCTTCCCAAGCTCTTCCCCTCTCTGGGCAACATCCTTTATACATCCTCCTTCACTCACCCTGAGCCCCACCTCCCCGCACAGCCACAAACTGTTCTCATCGAAAACAAGTCAAGCTCAGATGACCGGCCCCCACCCTCCCCCAGGAAGGAGTATCCACCCCTGCCACCACCCGCCCTCCCCCCCCACCCCCACCCCCGCCGGCAAAAACAGTCTAATTATTTTTGGGGAAAATGTGACTGCAACCACAGCCCTTTGGAAGATCCCCAGCAGCTTCCAAACTGGGGACAAGGGATGGAGGAACCATGGCCTGTGAAAGAGGGATCTCTGGGTTATACAGACCCCAAGTGATCTATCTGCTCAACTCAAGGCTCATCCCAGTGCCTACTTAGCAGTGGGTTTGGGGGTAAAGAGGCTGCATTTTCAGAAGGGCTTTGGTCTCAGCAGCTGGCCACTAGATGGTGACAGAACAGGATGTCTGATCCCAGAGGCCCTGATGCTGTGAGGAGCATGACCAGTGTGACCGCATGTGTTTGTCCTTACCTTCCTCCTGCGTGTGTGTACACAACACACACACACACACACACAGTCTGTATTCCTGGGAGTGCCTCCTGCCACTGGAGGGGGCTGTCTGTGGTGCACTGTCACAAAAGAAAAGAACGGATGCAACTCAAGTACACAGACAGTAGTTCAGTGGCGGCCTGGGACAGGGATGGGAGTGGGGTGGAGGGGCTCGTTGGGGATGGGAGGCAGAGGAAGAGGGATATCTGTAATACTTTCAACAATAAAGATAATTTTTTTAAGTAAAAAAAAAAAAAAAAAAAAAAAAAAAAAAAAAAAAAGAAAAGAACGGATGCAGAGGGTCCGGTCAGGCCTTCCTCCCGGTGCCCTACAAGATGGAGCTCTCCACTCAGCCACGTAGCAAGCATCACTGTGCTTGAGAAACCATGGACACTAACTGGATATGGTGTAGAATCGTCATGGCTGGCATCCCTTCCCCTCTGGGATTGCTGTTTTATCCACTGGGCTCACCCTTTTTGCAGTCACTTCCTGCCCAGATCCTATCTGCCCTTCAAAGTCCTGGATAGAACTAGCAGCTCGATAAGTGGTTCCTGAATAAAAACTATGGCTTGGTGTCCTGTATCCCATGGGAAGAAGATCCAAATATGACGGGACCTTCCCCTGCCTCTCCCTTGCTGGCATCTCTGTCTTTAGGGAAGATGACACTCTAGCCCATCTTGCTCATGAGATTCCACACCAGTGTTTGAGTTTGAGTGGCAGGTTCCAATCAGGGGAAGTCAATCAAGGCTCCAGAGTTAGGATTAGGGTTAGGGTCAGGTTAGGGTTAGGATTAGGGCGTCCCAAGAGCAGGGAACTTTAGGAAGAGATGAGCCTGGCCAGGGAAGCCCAGGGCACCCCACTGATGTCCAGTCAGTCATCCTGCCCTTCACAGATCCACCCCAATTCTGACAGGCCCCGCTGCACACCAGCCAACCTCACACCCTGAGTTTTTCCTTCTTGACTCCCTTTCTGTGCCTTCCTCAGACAGGCATGATGAAAGTTCCTGTTCCCAGAGAGGTTCACAAGGACCTAGACATTTGCTTTTCTCTGGAACCCACAGGCCACATAGAGTGGAGGGCAAGCCTGGGATGGCAAGGAGGGACCTTCCAAGTGGATGGGCTTCTAAGTCTCTAATCCAAATGCCAGATATCAATAGGGAGAATAAGGTCTAGGGAGCTGCCCAACAAAAGCCACAGAGTCCTGGTTCCATCCTGGGAAATGGCCAAGTTCTAGAACCCGGGCTCTTTTCCTCATACCCTTACTCCCTTTTATAACTTTTTTATTTCAAAACTTGTGGCCCAGTGCACGAATTCATGCACATGGAAAGGAAACTAATTAGGAGAAATGTTTTAATATTCTTTTTGCCCTTTCTTTATAATAGAAGCGTCAACCAAATTCATGATGGACAATATCAGATTGAAACACAAGCCTGCGATTGGGGCTTTTTAATATCTGCTTTCTGATTTAGCTAAGCCTTTTCCAGCCCAGTGAAGCACCCCAACTTCTCTTTCAGGTGATTGTTAGCAACACAGCAGTAAATATCAACATGAAGCAGATTATTATTGTAGATCACACAGGGAGAACAAAGGATAAAATATTTAACTGAAGCTTAAAATATTTATCCCACTTATGTCCTTTCTCTGGTCTAGGATCTAAAGGAGAATCTCATATTGCA